TTTTTAAAAAAAAAAAAAAAAAAAAAAAAAAAAAAGAGACTGCACATGAAATTAATAAAAAATTTAATTTTTTAAATATACTAATAACATAATTGTATTTTTTTAAACAGAAAAAAAAAAAAAAAAAAAAATTAAATTAAAATCCCATAAAATTAAACAAAAATTTATTTTTAGAATATTAGTAAATTATTAAAAAAAATACAAATGTAATAGTATTTATTTTATATTCAAATAATTTTGATAAATGATTTAAAGGAAAAAAATTTTGTGAAATTAAGAATATGATAATACTGTGAAATTCATTATAATTCATTGGTTACATTCTTAATTTAATTTTCATATTATTACATAACTTTTCAAAATAGGATCAAATGTCAAAAAAATATAAAAAAATTAGAAAAAGAAAATAATTAGAATAAATAACAAAAACAAAAAGACAATAATAGTTTAAAATTAATTATAATAAATGAAGAATATTTAGACATAAAAATAAATTTTGTAATACAAAGCATAATAAAATAATTCTATAATTTATACTAATTTTTTTATTTTCTTCTATTTTTTTATTATATAAATACACCTATATTAATATTGTATCTGTTTAAATTTTTTAGATTAAAAGGCAAACTTTTTTATGAAAAAAATTAAGAAAGTATATATAAACATTTTTTTAAAATTCTTGATTTTAAGAGTTTTTTTTTATTATTTTTATATTCACATATTTTTTACTATAAAAAATAAAAATTAAACAAAATTTTCATTTATAAATTTTGTAATATTTATAAGAATGAATTATGCTTTTAATTCATATTCTCAAAAATTTTATATAGATTACTGTATAATTATAATAAAAATGAATATAAAGTAATGTGATTATAATTTTATCAAAAACAATGAAATCACCTCTCAAAAAGTAAAATATTTAATGGGTTTTTTCAGGTATAATAATTTAATTTCAAAAAAAAAAAAAAAATTAAATACAATGAAAAAAAAAAAAAGATAATACTTTCTTATTAATATAGCAGAATTATATTTTGTATTAAATTGAAATTCTTATTAAATATAACTATAATTATTGTTCATATTTGAGGAAATCATTTTATAAATTGCTTATTCATTTTTTTTCTTAATATTCTATTAATGCCTATTTCATTTGGAATTTTTTTTTTTATGTATATCTTTATGAAATTTAATACTTAAGAACACATTTTACATATTATTTAGATTTTTTATTTTTACTAAAACAAGTTTATTCAGATGTTATTTTATTTTTTTTTTTTTTTAAATTCTATAATTATATATCAAATATTCAACGTGAATATTTAAAAGAAAAATTTGGTAAAGCTTCAAAATTATTTTATATTAATTTTTCATTTATATTAATATACTACACCATGATCACCCCTTAAAACTCTATAAGAAAAATATAATATGAAAAAAAAAAAAAAAAATAAAATAAAATAAAAAAGTATTTATGTAAATTACATTAAGATGATAAAATTAAAAAACAAAAACAGCATTTGATAATAATGAATTATAAAAATATTAAAATTAATTAGTCTTAATAGAATTATCCTTCTCTGCTGTTTTTATTTGCGTGAATAAAAAAAAAAAATATTTGATAATCCCGGTAATAAATATTTTATTTTTTTTTTTTTTTTATTTTCATTTTATAAAATTTGTATCATAAATGAAAAGCAAAACACATTTGTATAGGAAAAAAATAAAGGAATATATTTTTTAAAAAAGTTTTGTTTTATTTTATTTCCATTTTTTTTTTTTTTTTTTTTTTTCTATCTTATTTCAAGTGAGAATAAAATTAATAGAAAAAAAAAAAAATAAAATAAATTTAAAAAGTAGAATACAGTATTTTTCCATCATAAAGATTATTACATATATATATACATATATAAGTTTGTATAATCCATTTAAAAATTTTTTTTTTTTATGTTTCTTTAATAAATAAATTTACTTTATAATTCAATTCATTTTTTGATTTTTGCATATTAATAATAAATACAAATAAATATTGTTTTAAATTTTTTTATAATTTTTTTATAGCATTTAATATATTTTTTTTTTCTTTTATTTTAATCCATTACTTCGATTTTTTCTTCTGAAAGTAGATATACATTATTATAATTTTTATAAGATCTAACATCAATATAAATTTATTGTTATTCAATATTTCTTTAATTTTTTAAAAATTTAGATATGGAAAACATAAAAGAAGCTGAAATATCTTTAAGGGGTGTTTTAGAAGGAGGACATAGTGATTGGGTAACTTCAGTATCAACTCCTACTGATACAAAATTAAAAACTATTGTTAGTGCTTCGAGAGGTAATAAAAAAAAAAAAAAAAAAAAGTTAATTTTTATTTTAGTGATTAATACTATATAGTATATTGTGTATATAGCTTTTGTTATTAAAAATTACTATTTTATATTCTACTGTTTTAAAGTTAAAAATAAAAAGAGATTTAATATTTTTGATATGATAAATAATAACATCTAAATATATTTTCTTTCACAAAAACTTTTTTATTTTATATAATTATATTGTATTAGGTATACATATAATTTATTCATATAGTTTATATTTGATGTATTTTTACATTTTGCAATTGTTTAATTAAATATATATATATATTTTTATATAATTTTATCATGTTTTCTCCTTTATTATTATTTATACTTTTTTCAAATATATATATATTTATATATATATTTAATATCTTTTATAGTTATTTTATATATATTTTATATTCATTTTATTTATATGTTAATTTGATTTAATACACATTTTAATATACTATTTTATTTCAATAATTTATAAAATTTTCATTTTCTATGATGACAAGCAACTGTCCCAGCTCACTCTGACATTTAATTTAATGGAGAGAAAACAGTTTAAATGAATCTGATCAATGAAAATATATATATATAATGAAATAATTTAATTAAGATATATTTTACATTTATATATTTTTATTATGATATATACTTATTTTAAAAAAATTTGAAAATATGCAATTGTAACAATTTTCTTTATTTTTTCAGACAAAAAATTAATTGTATGGAATATAAATACAGATGATGATTCAGGAGAAATCGGAACTGCAAGAAAATCATTAACTGGACACTCTCAAGCTATAAATGATGTTTCCATTTCATCAGATGGATTATTTGCATTATCTGGATCATGGGATCATTCTGTGCGTTTATGGGATTTATCACTCGGAGAAACCATTAGATCATTTATTGGTCATACTTCAGATGTTTTTAGTGTATCTTTTAGTCCTGATAACAGACAAATTGTATCAGCTAGTAGAGATAAAACAATTAAGTTATGGAATACTTTAGCTCAATGTAAATATACCATAGCAGATAAGCAACACACAGATTGGATAACATGTGTTAGATTTTCACCTTCACCAAAACAAGCAATTATTGTTTCATGTGGATGGGATAAGTTAGTTAAAGTATGGAATTTAAAAAATTGTGATTTAAATAAAAATTTAGAAGGTCATACAGGTGTTTTAAACACAGTTACCATCTCTCCTGATGGATCCTTGTGTGCATCAGGTGGTAAAGATGGTGTAGCAAAATTATGGGATGTAAAAGAGGGAAAACATTTATATTCACTTGAAACTGGATCAACTATAAATTCTCTATGTTTTTCTCCATGTGATTACTGGCTTTGTGCAGCAACAGATAGATTTATAAGGATATGGAATTTAGAAAGCAAATTAATTATTTCAGAAATTTATCCAATTAAACAATCGAAAATAGGAGTACCTTGGTGTACTTCCTTAACATGGTCAGCTAATGGCCAATTTTTATATTGTGGATCAACTGATGGAAATATTTATGTCTATGAAGTAAAAAAACAAGCTATTTAATAAAAAAAATTATAAACAGTTCATAAATTTTTTTTTTTTTTTTTTCTTTTTTCTTTTTCTTTTTTAATATATATGTATTTTATTTTTACTTGAATATTCATATGTATAAAACTAAAAATTAATAATTCATTTTTACAAATTTATAAAAATTATTTAATATTAACAATTTTTGCTATATATATATATAAAGGATTTGAAGCATGAAGAATTAATTTTTATTACGTGTAAAAAATTAAATTATATATAAATTTTTAAAATAAAAATACTTTTTATTTTTTTAAAGACATTTATTAATCTATTATATAATTTTAATATTTTTATCTATTTTATCATCATTTTTTTTTTTTTTAAATTTTGATTTTTATTAATTTTAAAATAAAAAAAAGCATATAAAAAAAAAAGTCATAACAAGAAGTTCCGATGAAAAAACAAATGTTTCAATTTTAATACAAATTCTTTTTTACACTTTAATTGTAATATTATGTCTATGATATTTTTTAATTAATAGAATTTAATAATAGTTCTCTTAATTATTTAATCATAAAAAAAAATTAAATTCTCATAACTATCTTTTTTTTGTTAATTACAAAAAAAAAAAAAAAGCATTTTAATTCTCTTTTTTTTCCTACTTTTATAATTAAACACCTTAAAACATAATTTCTATTTTTTAAGTTTGTTATAATAAAAAGAGAAATTTTTTTTTCTAAATATTCTTAATGATATATAAAATAGTACATTCTATTTTATAATGTAATATATAGAGTAAGTTAAAAATAATTTTAATCTTTTTTTTTTTTTTTTGTTATTTGAATATATCAATGATTAAAAAATAAAAAGTTATAAGGATTGCTATATTTTTATTTAGACTTCAACTTTTTTTTTTAAAATTATTTTTTTTTGATTATGTAAAATAAAAAATTCATATATTATGAAAAATTAAAAAAAAAAAAAAAAAAAAAGAAAAAAAACATAGATACATTTACATTAATTTTAAACAAAACAAAAACAAATAGAACATTTGTTGTATTTAATTTTTTTTGTTTTAGTAAACTATAAACAATTTTATATAAAAAAATAAGTTTTAAAATAGAAACATAAGAAAAAAAAAAAAATAAAAATATTTTCAAATTGAAATATAAAAAATGTAATTTTTTTTCTTTATTATTTTTTTTTTTTTCATTAATTTAACGGATTAAGAGAAAAAATAAATAAAATAATTGTATTCAGGATAAACTTCTTTATAAAAATATATACAATATTTTTCAATTTTTTATGAAAAATACTTCAATATAATAATGTATATAATTTCAGATGAAGAAATAGCATATTCTAATAGCATATATAGTGAAGAAATAGAGAGTGAAGAAAATAGTGATAATCAGTCAAAATATATTGAAAGAGAGAACAGTATTGATTTAAGTGAAAATGAATTAGTATTATTTAAATATGTTTGTATAGCATTGATAGATGGTGAAGATATTTTATTGAAATATAGTCTTCTTAATCATGATTTAGACATTTCTACTAATAACATAATTAAGAAAATATTGATAGCTTCAAAAAAAAAATTAAGTTATAGTAGCAAAAAAATCCTTAATTGGGACAATAGAATTATTTATTTTATAATATGTAGTGAAAAGAAATTAGCTTTTTTCTTAATTAGTTTAGATATTAAGGCTTATTTTAAAAATTATGCATTTGAATTTTTGAGGAAATTAGAAATTTACACTAAATCCGAATTATTTTATAGCCCAAATTACCTATCTAGTAATATAAATAGATCAAAAGTAAATACTATTGAATTATTCATGAAAAGAACAATAAATAATCTTAATAAGTGTTGTAAAAATGAAAAAATTATTGCAGTAAAACAAAAATTAAATAAAATTAATTCAGTAATGAATAATCATATAGACAATTTATACCAATCTAGAGGGAATATCAAAGCTTTACAACATAAAACAGAAAATATGTCTAAAAATACATTAAATTTTGTACAAAATACAAAAAAATTAAAAAGAATAATGTTCTTAAAACACTGGAAAAGTTATTTAATTTTAGCTTGTTTTTTAATTGTCGGCTTCAAGGTTTATAGGTCTATTTGATGTTAATTTGTAACCAGTTTATTTATTTAAATTTTAAGTTTCAATAAACTTATAGTTATTTTATAATTTAAATTTATATATTATATTTAGTTTTTACATATTTTTATTGAAAACTATTTATCAGTTAATTCGTTATTTTTTTAAAGTTTTTATATAATCAACTTATGCTCAATTTCCAAAAAATATAATTTTTTAATTAAATGCATGATATATGCATAAATTATTTTTAAAATTTAAAATAGTGATTTACATTTTTGCCTTTTAATTAATTCTTTTATATTTTATAGAAAATTGTAAAAGGAAAAATAAATAGTAAAAAACAGAACTATATTTGTTCTTGTGAAATATTTTACTATTTGATAAAATAGTATTTTTTCCTTTTTTAATAACATTTATTAATCTTTTTTGTTTATTTTATTAACTACATAATATTTTCAAGTTTAATTTTTTTTAGAAATTAATTACATAGATTCAATAGTTAACAACATATTCATCGTTTAATTAATACAAGTATATACAGGTTATATTACATTAATTATTTAGGACTTACATTAAAAAAAAAAAAAAAAGACAAAAAAATATATTTAATTGAATAAAAGTTACTAGTTATTTATAAAAATTTGGATGTTATTTATATTTTTTATTACTTAAATTTTTAAATAGTATTATAAAAAAAAAAAAAAAAAAAAAAAAAAAAAAAAGTGTGATGAAATAATGGTTAGAAAAGAAAAGGGGGAAAAAAAAAACAGTAAATGTATACAATTTTTTAGAAAAAGAAATTTTTAATTTAGGATTAGATTATTTATGAGTATATTTAGAAAATTTTTTAATGTCATAAAATCCTTTTATATTTTTTCATACAGTAATAATAAAAAAAATATATATAAAAATAACACATAAGTAATTTATACTAAATTTAATTCTCTTCAATAAAAAATTCTTTTTATCACCTAAATATTTTGAAATATAAACTGATATTAAAAGAAAAAAAAAAAAAAAAGTTTTTAATAAAATAAATATATAATTTGCAACATCAATTATAATAAAAATGTAGAAAAAGTGGTAATTGTAATTAAAAATATTATAACTGTAATAATAATAGATTAATTCAAAAAATTATAATTAAAATTATAATAATAAAAAAAAAAAAAAAAAAAAAAAAAAAAAAAAAAGTGAAACAAATAGATATACAATGTATTGTGTCAATTATATGTATTGGATATTTGATAATATAAGAAGTATATATTTCTTCTTCTTTTTTATTTATTACATTTAAGTTCTTCTTTTTTTTTTTTTTCATTTTTATCAAAATGGTATTCTTAATTATTTTAATTTTTTTTAATATTTTCACTCATTATTTTTATTTTCTTCAGATTCTTCTTCATTTTTATTTATAAATTCATTATCGTTTTCCTTATTTTTGTCTAAATGTTCTTCCTTTTTATCTTTCTCAATTTCTTCATTTTCAATATCTATTTCTAGATTTTTTTTTTTTTCTTTTTTCTCTTGTCTTAACTTATCTATATATTTGTGTATTTCTTCTTTTAGTTCAGGCATTGCAACCAACTGTTCTTTTGAAAGTGGTGCTCTATTAAAAGGATCATTTGGTTCACTCATTAGATGCCTTTCAATATTTTTTCGATCAATGATTATTCCAGATGTAGGTAATAAAACAGGATCTAACATAATATCTTGTAAAATAGGATCTAAAAATTTTTCTGGTATATCATTTACATCATCAAATAGTTCAACTTCATCTTTCATGTCTATAATTTGTTGACAAAATTTTTTAAATTTAATTAATTCTTCTTTATGCAATAATCCTTCTCTCTTACATATATAATAAGCCTTATTAAAAATCTGAGGTTTATAATATCTCCCTTCATTTGCTATTTCTCTTATTAATAATTCTTCATGTTCTTTTTCTGAATTTAATAAAAATAAGTAAGATTCAACTATACTAGTTAGCCATAATTGTGGTCTAAAGTTATACTGCTCCATATTTTTTACTTTAATATTTAAGCATTTTGGTCCTACTAAATAATCAAAGTAACAATTTAAGCATGTTACGATTTGAGATAGTATAGTGTTAGAAGTAACTATATTTTTTGAATAATTTTTGCATAATAAATTTAAAAAGATACAAGATTTGTAGCAATATGTTATTATCATTTTTGTCTTTGCAGCTAAATTTCTCATGCTTTCATTAGTTAAATCTGTTTCTACTCCTGAATCTTCAATTTCACTATTATCACTAAATGACCCATTTAAATTATGAGATTCTTCATTATCTAAATGAGAATTATTATCTAGATGTATATTTGATGAATTTATTTGATTACTCATATTGGAATTTGTACTTCTATTATTTCGAGTTGCACTTGCGTAAGAATTTGCATTAGATATGGAATTTTCTATTTCAACTTTTTTTTTATCTTCTCTTCTTTTTATTTCGGACAGATATGAAACTACTTCCTCTACTAAAAAACTAACATCATTTAATAATAAGTGAATTAGATGAACAAAAAGATTATTGTTATTTATAACTAATTGAGTAAACTGATTAACATATATATTATTTAAAAAAAAACTATTAAAGTTTTCTACTATACGAACCCTAGTTTGCATTCTCTCTGTGTATTCTCCTTTTTGAGATGCAATAAATACATTGGTCAATGATTTAATAATATATTTTTTAGTTAATTCTGATTCTTCTATTATTTTTTTTAAATTATCAAATTTATATAAAAAAGAAAATGTTCTCGGAGCTGATTCACACCTTATATGTATACTTTTAATATGATGTTCACTTAACATAGTAAAAATTGAAAATGCTATAAATAAATCCATATTTAAATAACTTAAAAAATTTTCGTTATTTTGACTTTTAAATATATCTAATTCATACAATAAATAAATTATTTCAAATATATCACTTAAAAAAAAAGTAGGAATTATAGAAAACTGGGGTGACGCATATAAACGATCATTTTTATCTGTGTCACTAAGTGATTGAGAAACTTCATTATTATCTTCATTGTTTTTATTATTATTTACTGTGTCTTCAATTATATCTTCTCTTTGTAATTCATCAGTATCATATTCCTTATCTTTTTCTAGGTTATTTTTATCCTCATCTATTTTTTTATCTGTGTTAATTATTAAATTATCAAAATTTATATTTTTATTGTAGTATTTTTCATTTGGTGGTGGGCAACATTTTAAGACCAAATGAGATATATTGTCTTTATGCTCATTTAAATAATTTTGCATATTAACATTTATGTTGCCATTTATATCATATAAATAAACAACATGTAAGAAATAACTCATAGATAAATGTAAAAATTTAAATAATAATTGAATAAAACGGGAATTATACAAGAATATTTTCCATGCATGTATATTCATATAATAAAAATTTTTATCTTTTGCGTTTCCTACTTCCTGAATTATTTTAATAAATTCATCAACAGCTGGTTTAAAAAAAACACTTAAAGATTTAAAGGTCATCCAAAATATACATGTAATAAATTTTGGTTCTTTTTGAAAAATTTCTAAGTTTTTGACTTTATTTTTTATTTTTTCTACATTCAATTTTTCTTCAAAAGAAGATTGATTTGTTATATTTTTTAAAATAAATTTAGAAAAAGGATCATTTCTTAAAAAAAAAAAGAAATCAATATCATTAATTTTATTTGTTGTAATTGGTTCACATAAACATAATAATACCCAAAACATATTAAGACAAAAACCATATGAGTTTTCACCTAATAATTTTAAGAATAATCCATATGAGTTATCTAATGATTGAGGATAAGAAGCATAATGATATATTATTTTTGTTTTTTTCTCATTTGATAAAATTATACAATTTATCCATAACAATACTTTTTTTTTGCTTTCATTGCTTCCTTTTAATAAATTTTTTATTATATCTACGCAGTTTTCTAGTATCCAGTCCGTATCTCTTCTTAGTAAAACATATGTATTTTTTAAAGAGCTCAAAGTCATCTTATTTAGTGTGTTAGTAGTTGTATTGTAAAAATATTTATACATTGCTATTTCTTCTTTTTTTATTATATTAGGCATAGTTAGTATTGTTGGAGATAATAATCTACCTAATAAACTATTTAACTGTAAGTTATATCCACAGTTATTCACTTCTTTATCCTTACTACATGGTTTATTAATAAGGGAATTACTATTGTTTGAATTAGTATTATTTGGTACATTAGTAGAAATAACATCACTTATATTATTATCACGTATACTAACATCTGACGTTGAATTATTATTATGCTCATTTTCGTTAAGGATGTTCGCGTTAGATATTAAAGAATTGGGTGATGATGTATAGGAAACTTTATTTATTTCATTATTATTTTTATTATTAGATGATTCAATAGAAGAATTATTTTGTGATTTTTTTTCAAAAAAAGAATCTTGCATTCTATCAGTTAAATTTAAATATAAAAAGACTGATTTATTATTCATTACTAAATCAGCTATTTGTTTAAAACTAGTTATAAACTTTAATAATACAGCAATATCATTTTTTGGATATACTAAATTTCTAGAATTCAAATTTTCTAAAATCATATTTATTATTGGATTAAAAATTTTGTTTAACTGCTTCCCGCTTTCTTCTTCATTTCTATCATTTTCTTCTATAACTGATAACATTTTTTTTAAAAAACGAGAAGTACAAGAACCTTTTAAAAACTCAAAAAAAACATTTATTCTCTCTTTATATGATATTTTTACATTTGGATATATATCTAAATTTTCTAAATAAATTAATGCGCTGTTTATTATTTGATCTAAAATTTCATTAATTAAATTGTCAGTTTGTTTGCTATCTAAATTTGTACCTTTATAAAAATTTTTATCTAATAATCGAGCAGAACAAGAGCATAGATAACTTAAGCAATTTTTTTTTTTTTTATGTAAATCTGCAATTTTATGAAGTAACAAGAAATATATATTATCAATTTGTAAATATAATTCTTCGTTATTTTGTTTTAATTCTTTTTCATATGATTCTAAATAAATTTTTGTATTATTAGACTCTTCTTTTTTCAAACATATTTGAAAAATGTTTTGAAGAAGCAAGTCTTCCTTAACTTTATCCTCCATTTTTATATTTAATATTAGATTTTATGTTTCTTCTTTTTCTTTTTATTATTTTTTTTTTTGTATGTAGTATATATATTAAATTACTTTTTTTTTTTTTTTTTTTTTTTTTATTTTTTTTTTTTTTTTTTTTTTTTTTTTTTTTTTTTTTATTTTT